ATATAATGTTTTATATCCTCTTTTAGAATTTACAATGCCTACTAAAATGACAATCTTTAAAATTAGGGCAAATCTTATTTAGTGATCTGTGATGGCCCCTATATCACTACTACTGTGTCTTGTCGTTTGCCTTGTACCTTCAATATGCTTGACTTGAAATTCATATGAGTTTTGAGAGCGAAGCTGACACTGGGTCACCACTGGTAAGCTTGAACCCAGTGATCGATCAGTTAGAACTCTTATGATTGCACTGAGAAGCCTCTACTTGAACTATTTACAAGGTAGGGTATTTCTTTTATTGAACTGAAGTAGCTTTCAGCTATTCAAGATGAAGCAAGAAGCTAAATCCCAGGTAACACTGACATGTTACCAGCCCTGTCTCTCTCTCTTCTCCACCTATATTGACTTGATTCTAGAAGCTCGCAAAACTCTCTTCAGGGGCAGCTCACCTCTTTACACATAATGGAGACTCCAGCAGCTCCAGGATTGGCAGGATCTTTTTGCTACCATGGATGAGCTAAGACTTAGACTCCCTCATACCTTCTTCAGAAATCCCAAACTCAACTCAAACATTGTATCCAAGACAGTCAGGAAATCTAACTGGCCAACCTTGGGCCAAGTTAGTGACTACAGCCAGGAAAACAGAACTGTGGGGAAATAGTGACCCCTACTCAACTCACGTGGTCAGAGCTGCTGTTATAATTGGAAAAAAAAAAAAAAAAAACCCCAGATAGTGAATGAAACTTGTCAAAGATGTTAAAAGTAAAAATGTAAATGCCCATTATTTGGATGTAAGAAAATGATCAATCAAGAATCTTTTTAACTTATTAGCTAATACAAAATGTTAAGGTTTATTGGACATGAATTTTTAACCTTATAAATGAGTATTATTACTATGAGTATTATAACAGAAATGTTATTTGAAATATTCAGTGGCTGCCATCACATGAACATTGACCAGTCAGAACTGATGGCCAGGTAATCAGAAAATAATCCCAGCCCTAGCGTAAGCATCAGCACGTACAAGTGGAATATCATTTGCCCAAGTGCTAGGACGAGTCACCAGTGAGTGCAATATGATTACGGACCCCCAGATATTTCAGTCGACTTGGTAAAATCAAGAATCAAGACAGGTCCAACCTTCATTTTCTTTAATGTACCTAAAATTTCCTGGAGAATATTTTAAATTTTAAGCTGTTGCCCCACCTTTAAAGACTACTTATCACCAGGCATGAAGCTGAATTCAGTCAGCTGAATTCAGCTGACTAGGAAATTTTAATGCATCTTAAATCCTAAATTTTAGTAGTGTATACTGACTTTCCTGGTGCAGAGGATCTCTGTTCTCTTGGAGAAAGGCTGCTCTAAATTTCCTTCCACTTAGGGAAAAGCACCGTAGCTCTCTGTAAGTAATTGGAATAAATAAGAAAATCAACAACGATAAAGACATAGAAGGAGCATAATGCAGTGTGAGCTTCAAGGTTCCTGTTTATTAGGAATTAGGTAATTTGGGTTCATCCTCTAATGGCATGTAATTCCAAAGTAGGGCAACCAAGGAAACCAGAAGAGACAGGTGTGAGGAAAAAGAGGAAGTCCTTTGAGCAATATTTAATTCAATACTAGGGGCTGTCAAAAAAGAGCTTCCTTGATGGAGGGGATAAACCTATTATTTTGATCTTTAATTGTGTGTTTTATAAGGCAGCTTCCATTTGCTTTCATCACCAAACCCTAGCCAACAAAAAATGGCAAGCTAAGCTGCATTGACTTGAGGTATTAGAAACAGCAGCTGAAATAAGCCAAGTAACCATGGCAGACAATCAATGATTGATGCAGTACATGCAGTTCACCCGGGCTCTTATACTCTGTGATTGAAATTCCTCAGCAGAGAGATGTCAAGAAAACAGCCGTGAGTTTAAGGCCAGGAAATTTGTCCTTTTGGCCAATTTCAACCAACAGCTTTGTATATAACTTGGGGCCAATGACCTGGCCCTTTCGACTAAGTGCTATACACTGACGTGAACTGCAGCTCTAAAATAGCTATCCCACGAGATGTAAAACAAATTTTTTTTGCTGAAAGTACTCAATTGTTAGAAAGCAACACGTGTCTAAAGAAAGAGCTTTCTTGTTTGTCAGTGTTCATCACTCTCAGAGTAAATTAAAAAGAACCAGTTATTTCTTACAGTGCATTTCAAATTAGGTAATAAAGCGTGAAGCTGCCTTATCAGGACTTCCAATCTTATGTTTAAAGTCTAGTTTGGATATTAAATCTCTTGGACCCTCGGGTGAGGCTGAATGACATCTTTGGCCAAATGGGACTCATTTGAGAAGCACCAGAAGGTCTATCTGGACAAAATAACTTCCCAAATACTCCACGAGTGTCCATCCTTCTGGTTATGCTATGGATTGAAGATACAAAATAATGTTTAACCATTAATGTCAGAATGCTTTGTTGTCAGTAAGAGACATACCAAGGTTTTGAAACGTATAATTATGGGGTTGTCTTTGATAAAAAGAGACATAAAAATAAATAAATGAAAAGAACACAAAGGTGTTAGTGTAAAATCCTAAAGGGAATGCTTATTTAGGGTAAGGAAAGAAATCAAAACTTTTAAGATTTCTTTAAACAATTCACTAAAATAATTTTTGTAAAATAATTTCTAAATTCAGTCTGACTTCCGTGCCTTCTGCAATACTCCACAGAGCTCACCAACGACTGGCTCTCACCAGGAACTATGCAGGTGAGGGCCTCGGGCTTAATAGGGTTGCATTCAGTAAGTGCCATGTTCAGTTATATAGTACTAAAGCTTCAGGTAAACAGGCAAGCAAGGAACAAGAACAACACAGGATCAAGTTCACGGGCAGATGGAGAGAGAAGAAACTGACTTTGGGAACAGTTTCAAGTAAGCTGTGAAAACAGCCACCAAACAGGATGTCTGCAAGCCTGCACGAGAGGGCTCAGAGGAAAGGCATTAACAATAAATCCAGCCTCAGTGGAAGCACTAAGCTGACCTTACAGTGTCATTATAGGCCAGTTCCTGCTGTGGAGGAGAAACAGGAAACAAAGAAGACATGAGGAGAAAATAAAAGAGAGTTTGAAAGTGTGAGGGGAGAGGAAAAATATTAAAAAAGTAGAAGAAAAACTTTATTGAGAAAGAGAAAACATGAGCTCAAACATCTGTGTTTAGTGTGTAGCGGCACTGAGCACTCAGTTCTCTTGCTCTCTGTCAGGTTCTTGATGCTCAAGAGCATGATCCCTTCCAGCTCCATCCATGTTGCTGTGAATGGCATGAGTTTATCTTTTTTCATTGCTGAGTAATATTCCATTGTGTATAAGACCACATCTTCTTGGTCCAGTCATCTTTTCTTGGGCATTTGGATTGTTTCCATTGCTTACCTATTGTAAATAGTGCTGCAATAAACGTAGGAGTGCAGGTGTCCTTTTGAATTAATGCTTTTGTGCACATTACTTATTTATTATTAATTAATTAATTATTAATTAATGCATTGGGCAGATTCCTAAGAGTAGAATTGCTGGGTCATTTTTAAACATATACACAAGTTCTTCAAAGAAGCATATGTGCTAAATCATAACTGTGTCCTTCTAAAATTATTTTTGGGAGAAAATTAGCTGCAGGACTACCTAAGGTTATTAGCTGAGAAATTCACCAGACCTGACCTAGTACATTCATTGTATTTTGATGTGTAAAAGCTCTACCTAAACTGGTATCTTCAACTGCACCATGTCTTTATTACACTCAATACTTCTCAAATAAAAATCATCAGCTTTCCTGTTTTAGTTATTTTTTTTCTTCTAGTGACATCAGCTACCCCTAAAGTTGGAAATCTTAGTATCATTCTTACGAGACCCACTGCCTAATCTCTGCCACCCCCACCACCCATGCGCGCCAGACTCAGTTCACTCTCTGGTATTTTTCCATCAAGTGTCTTTTCTCTCTTATTACTACAGTAATTCCTTCCCAGGTCTTTATTACTTTTAACTTGCCTATTGAAACTTTTAACTTGCCTATTGAAATAAAGTCATCGATTTACCAGCTACTGCACACATCTCAACATGGCAGTGCCCTAGTCAAAATCCCAGTGGCTCCAGGTTACTTACAGATTCAAGTTTGAATGTCCTACTTTGATTATCAAGACCATCTTAATCTTTGGACTCCATTTGCACTTCAGAATTTTCTTTATTTCCCTTTACATGCCAGCATGCCAGAAAAACAGATATTCTCATTTCTGGTGACTTCCATCTCTTTTTCTTTGTCCCACATTTCCATTCACTTTCTTCCCTATATTTCCCACGTATCCCTGATAATTGTAATCTACCCATATGCACATAATAGTTTAAAGATTCCTCTCTCATGCACTCATCACTTCGTGTCTTGAATCACAGGTACTCTGACATATAACTCCCTTGCTATCCTTGAGTTTGCATTGTTTCTCTCTTTAAGTACAGACCAGGTGAGAGATTGAGAGCATGGTCCATAGCTGGTTTATCTACATTAAATGTTGTTTAATATTTTAATATTGAATAATAAAACATTGTTATTCCTACAATGCCTAGCAAAATACCTTGCAAATTATAGATATCCACTAACTGTATGTTAATTTAATAGGTAAGTATTTATTTCCTTGGTAAACATAAAGTTCTGATTTCTTAAGAAAATCAACACAATTATTAACTATGGAGAATGTCTATATTTATTTCCTCTGGTGCATCATCAGTGAGTGAAATACCAGTGTTAATTGACACTTTTGATAATTATTATTTTAGATAGTACTGAACATACATCCGATGCAGTTTTTAAAGAAGGACTAGAATTTTATCGTAATGATTGAGTCTAAGGGTACTTCTTATTTCAATGCATCAAAAATTTAGCAGTCATCAAATAGACATTAACAACCAAGCCGTAGTGGAGCAGTGTAACATCTTCGGTACTGGAAATAAATTGTGTCATTCATTTTATGCTTAAAGACTATTCTTTATTTCCCAGGTGTGATGGGAGAATATGAGCCGAAAATTGAGGTCCATTTTCCATTCACGCTTACAGCTGCTAAGGGAACAACTGTTAAGATGGAGTGCTTTGCACTTGGCAAGTAAGTACATATTCTTTCATAATTAGACACAATTGTTTATTAAAATGTGACATATCTTATTTTTGAATCACTTATTTTGTTAGGTTTCATTTTCCCAGAAGCTCCTTAGTGGCTATTCGTTTTTTAAAAAAAGCAAATGGGAATTGATGAAGTAGCCAATTAGAATTATCTTTCTAGTCATTTCTATGAACAATAAAGCATAAAATTAGGCTATTTTCACAGAGAGAAAACTTCTTCATATAAAAGTGGAGCTTCGTATCTCTTTATCGACTTGCTTAAAATTTCAGGATCACTCATCTATTGCATTCAGCATGATGTAAACAAAAGGACGATAAAAGGAAAAGGTGATGTATGGTCCTCATGTATAAGGTTTAGATTCTGATAAGATATAACAAAGCAATAAAAATTATAAGACAGGCCTCCCTGGTGGCGCAAGGGGTCAAGCGTCAGCACTATGAAGCAATTCACAGCCACTGCAGCAGCACAAGTTCAATCCACGACCAGGGAGCTGACCCACATGGCGCAGCAGACCTCTCCTGTCTCGCCCGCTGCTCCGCTCAGCAGTGGATTTCAGTCCATCTGCCTGTTCTGCTCCCCACTTTGTCTCTGGTGAATCCTCCCACCCCCCACACCTCTGGCCTGCACCCCAGCTCTTGTATGCATAAATAAATAAATCTTTAAAAAAATTATAAGACAACTGGTTACAGTGAACCAATTGATTATTCGAATATCTCCTGAAATAGTGACATAATAGCAACACCAGCTGTCAATAAGTACAACCTGTAATCACTCCCAAATCAGAAAGATGATTTACACCACTCTCTAATGCCTGCTATTCAGATTCAATTTCTGAGGGTTTAAATCCCCTGATATATAATCACTTGTCAATGATGTTTATAATATAAGCATTGGGCATACAGGCCAGAGTGGGATTTTGATTATATTTGATTAGTGTATTATGATTCATTTTAAATGGTGTTGTTATTTTGGCTTTTAAGGTGATAAGACTTCAGGGTCCTTTCTAGACTCTGTAATTATAATTTGCATAAATGCATCTCTATCAGTTACTAATCACTTAGCTTCAGTTGCGGTGATCTAACTCCCACAGCTTCACCACAAAATACTTGAAGATAGAACATGCTATATAAATGTGCTTATTAAAGTAGATTTAGCCTGTGGGTGAGAGAAATGTTAGTAAGTATGAAAAATTCATGGACGAGTTTCAAGACTGGTTGAAACAGCACATATGAGCAACTCCATTTAAATGTAAGTAGAAGCAGCATTATAAGAGACCAAAATCAAAATAAATTGTTGTGTAGCTCATATTTCAAGCCAAAGATGCTTCAAGTAAAAATATATTTTAAGAACTTCAAATTCAACAAGGAATTATTTGGGCAGCTACCTGAGGAGGCCTTCCAAACCAAAAGTATTAGTTATCTAGATTATCTGGATTACATAATCTCTTAAATGTTTTCTTTTTCATCATTTGCCCATGCCATGTTGTCGAGTATGCCTGAAAATGTCCCTACTAAGAAACTGAATTCTGATAAATACAAAAATAATATATATGTGTGTGTGTATATGTATATATAGCCTTGATGCCAATGATTTTAGTATATCCTACAGTTAAATAATTCTTAACTGCCAGAGTTTGCACTAACAAAGGGAAGTCGTATTGTAAAACAAATTAGAGAACTAGATTTATAGAGAAAAAAAAAATATGGGATATTTCCCCAGGCAGCCTTATTTAATAAGATAGATGTGTTTGCTTTTGGAAGGCTTGAAATATGCTTAGTAAATTGATCCTTAAAATCCCTTTCATTCTAGGTAGGATCGAATAATCAAATTACATTCTTTTAATACTCTGTTTTCTCCATTTTCTCCACTCCGTCTCTGCGACTCCTTCACCCAACCCATAATAAAAATAAGATAGAAACACATAAATAAATATAATAAAGAAAAACCACAGCCTCTCAAAAAATTTTCTGTTGCTCCTTTACTGTCCTTTCTGTGAAGTGTCACAATCATTGGGGACAAACACTTATCATGAAGCATGTGATGAAGACACCTCCCTCTGCCTCTACTAAAGATGGGCCTTCCATCCTGACGGCAGTAAAAAGATCAAAGAGCTAACATCCTCGCTGTGTCCATGCCTCTCAGCACATTACCCCATGGAGCAGACCAGCACTGAGTCCTGACACCACCACAGCGATTCCGAATGAATACGTGGTGCCTGCTCCGTTTCCAGGGCTCGCCTGAGCTGCTCCCATTCTAACAACTGGTGATTATTCCTGGGTGGGTTTTATCTAGCCAAGCACCCCAGCTCCTGCCCCTAGGCATACACCAGATGTGGCCACTCAAACTGATTTGTCCCCTCATCTCTGCACATGCCGTGTTTTAAGCCAACATTCCTCGTAGAGGGCCCTGGCCAGGTTTCGGCATGGCGCCTGCAAGCATTTTTCTGTCTTGTGACGTTTGCACTTTCTGTTCCCTCTAGTAGGCACGCTCTTCCCTACACTTCCCATGCTGCCTTGCATTTCTCCCCTGCCCTCAACATAAATGTCACCTCTAAAGCAGCCAAGTGGGGCTGCTCTATCCGGCTCACAGCCATTACCTTCTCTCTAAGCCCTGCGTGCTTTACACCGTGACCCTTTCCACAGATCTAGCTGATTTGCACGTGCGGGTTCTCACTTGTAGTTTCCCCTGTATCAGTTCGGAATTCAGCTGCACATAGGCTGCACCTCGAATGGTTCAAAAGAGTTCAGGAAAGGGAAGAGTTCAGTGTCGCTCTGTGAGGATGAAACGAACCACAGAAAGAAATGGAGGTGCTTGTAGCCTAGTGAGGGTGGGAAGTCACTCCCTCCCTGAAGCCTGGGGGTCAGGAGAAGGAAGTCGTGGCAGCAGCACCAGGGCGCCCGGAGAGACGTGGGCAGCCGGCAGCACACAGGAGCTGCGGTCCTGCTGGGGCAGAGTGGAGCTGGCGGCACAGCCGAGGACAGGGCCAGGCATCCGTGTCCTGCGTCCACTTGCTTTTGCCCTTGGACCTCCGGTGGTTTCCACTGCTGAGGGCAACTAGAAGCCAGAAGGGGGTTTGCAAGTCTAGAGGATGCAGTTGACAGTCGGTGAAGCGAAGCAGAGAATCTGGGGGGCAGGGGAGGGTAGGTGGTGCTGGGACGGGAGTGAGGAACAGGCAAGGGAGGCCCGTGGAAGAGCCAGGAGTCCCCGTGGCTGTTTGAAGCCCCAGGAAGGCAGCATCAGGACCGCACTCTGCAAATGCACAATCCCAGTGCCTGCCGCGCACACCGCCCTCAGGAAATGATTGTTGACAAAACGAATGACTCAGAATATTCGTGTCTGCTCAATCCAAGCAGCATTGTATAATTAACAAGTAATGAACAATAGCTTATTTGTGCCTAAAACCTCTTTTTTTCCCAAGATTTATTTATTTATGCATACAAGAGCTGGAGTACAGGCCAGAGGTGTGGGGGTGAGAGGACTCACCAGAGACAGAGTGGGGAGCAGAACAGGTGGATCTACTGAAATCCACTGCTGAGGGGAGCAGCGGGGAGTCAGGAGAGGTCTGCTGCGCCATGTGGGTAGATCCCTGACCGGCCCAGGGATCGAACTTGTGCTGCAGAGGCTGCAGACATCTTCATTGCATCTTAACCCCTGCGCCACCAGGGAGGCCTATGCCTAAAACCTCCGAACTCGTAATTCCTGTTCTTCCGAACAAATCCACCAATGTCCAGTCCATACCTCTGTCTCTTGCTGTTACCATTTTCTCTTTATGTCCAATTTTACAATTTGTATAGTTGCCCCCACCTTTTCTTGACTATTCCTTTTTTAAAATTTTATTTATTTATATTTTTTTGGCATAGAAGAACTGGGTTACAGGCCAGAGGTGTGGGGGGTGAGAGCCAAGCGTGGTCATCACAGCAGCGCCCCCAGGCCAGGTCCTCGCACAAGTGTCTTCTGGAGACATTTACTGCTTTTTTTTTTTTTGTTCCAACTTTAAAAACTGACAGTAAAGAACAATAATGGCCAATTTTCTTCCCCCTGAATTTTCTCTCACCCGTGGCATGATCTCGTGAACCTTTGATAAGCCAAAATGAGAAAGGCCTTTGATTGTTAAAGACTCATTCTTTCAAAACACACCAGACTATGGCTCCACTGCTCACAAACTCTGTTTTTACTCCTCTTTAAAAGCACATTCTCTCTATAGGACTGTCAGAGAGGTGCTCAGTTTCTTAGAGGAAGTAATTGAATGCGGTTTTGGTTGCACAGATAGATCAAAGACACCTAAGTTGGCACTTTTTCTATAGTCTTAAAGGAAATTGGCAGAAGATAAATAATTTTAGGGTATCGAATTTTACTATCTCGTGATAGTATCCAAGCTCACCCACCTGCCCAATTTGAAGTTAAGTGAAAATCCAATAGGGAAGCTATACGCTGCAAGCTTCCTTGTAAAGAGACCTCTGCCTAGATCTGAATTTAGCAAAAATCAGGTGGTCTCTTCCAGGCTGCCGCAGGCCTGGGACACGGGAGGGGACTGTTTGTACATTGGAAGTCTCCGTGCCCACGGCGTTGGCAAGACTGGGCACAGAGCTGACACATGAAGCAACCTGACGTGCTGCCGGGTGTTGGTCAATTCTCCAAAAGTATCATTTCCCAGAAAAATGAGAGATGCTTGAAGAGGACCCACAGGGGAAACAAGGTGTACGAAGGCTTCAGAAATACAGTCAAGTGCAAAAAGTACGATGGGAATGAATTACTTTGGGAGGAAAATGCTGTTCTAGACATACGGAAGGCGATTGTCGAGAGATTGCTCTCAAGCTGTTCTCCAGTTTCAGCACGATGGAGGAGTGAGATTCCAGCAGAATGGGATTAAACTAGCAGAATTAGATTGGGTGTAATATAGAAGTTCTCGATGAAAAAAGTTGTTACAAGGAAAATGGGTCATCAGCAGGAGCAGGAGCAGCTCTTCCCCGCGCGCTGGAAGG